GTGTCTATAAATGTAACTATTAATAAATAGCTAAAGTTGTTTATTGCTATGATATCTCCTAGATGTCGCTAGTCATCGAACTTATTGAGATATATTACAGACCACAGAACACCAATATACCAGACACAAACTTATCTGACAAGAACTGGAATAACTATATGAACCCATGGTTTACATTTAGTTTTAACGTTAAACACAACAATTTTTTTATAACTAAATATTTTTGTTATTTTACTACAATTTTGTTGCTACTAGCAACGTCATTAGTAATGATTTTCTTGTGACTTCCACTATGATCTTTTTCCCATGTTATATAGATATTGTTTTACTGTTGACATTAGCAAAGGCGAAACATTACTATATTAACCATTAAAAACTATTATTACATATGAGGTTATGTGCAGAAAAACCTATAAAGCCAACGGTCCATCTGCACTGCAGCATATAGAATCAGTATCAGACAATTTGTGTACTTATTTTTCAATTCTTTGATTTTGTTACTCGACATTTTGTCTTTCATTTTATCTTCTTTAATCCTTTGTTATATGCTGAAAACTACAAATAATTCTCATTATCAATCGCACAGAGGCAGACTTAATTCTTACCACAGGGAGAAAGGGGTTACTGCTATAAATGTACCATGTCAGGTGATTCACGCGATTCACCCTGGAAACCATCGTGATAAATTACCATTTGCCAAGTTGAGCTAATTGACCTGACTTCATACTCATTTTATCATCCTCCACCATCGACCAGGCAGCGTAAACCATCAGTGCAGGCGGGCGCATCGTTCCATTATCATCAATAAAAATCCTTACTATAGTTATTTATTAAAGGTATTTATTAAATTTTTGGTAATTTAATAAATAAAAGACATAAACTGTGTCTCATGTTACACTTTATTTTGCACAAGATCAAGAACATCAACAAATCTCTTAAAATTACAGTAACGAAAGACTTATCAGGGTACAGCTATGAACTGATAGCTGCAATATACATTATTTACATTGTAAGCTCTTTGGCCTGTACAAAAAATATACACAAACAAAAAAAAACATTACAAAAATAATTGTAAATAAAAATGTTAACCAAAGTGTCGGTAACGAATTTAAAATTAGTAATAAAATTTCAACAGTAATTATTAAAATACATTTTACAGTAAATTAAATAAACGTGCGCTAACATGTCGTAACGTGTCTAAAAACTAGAACTAACATATAATCCTAATTAAGTTAGGAACTAAACCCTACATATTGGTCACTATGACTTAAGGGTCATGCAATATGTGTGGATAAACTGTGACATTGTGAATATGGGGCGTGATAGATCTAAAATTTCATGACGTCACATTTCCAAAACTAATATACCAAAGTATTAAAACACAAAATCATAAAATAATTTCGAACTTTATTTCAGAGTAGGTTCGACACTTTTTTTTATTAAATATTTTTACGGCCCTGGAAATTACCTTTCAGCCAAGGTTCGACACTACTGACATTGTTCGAAATTTAAAATTGACATTTGTATATGCTTCTCTTTCATCGCAGTATTAACGTCATAAGTCAAAACGTGACAAATATATATAGTTTAATTGCTATTTTTAATCTGGATTCTATCTTAGTCCTTGGTCTTACTTATGTGCATTCTATACAATACCATCAAATACTGACGTCGGTAATCGTTTATTGCTAACATTTACAAAAAAAAACTTAATTTTTACAATGTTTAAGAAATATTAAAAACAATTTTATAATTTTTTTTAATGTATTTAGAATGACAAACGAGTTGACGGCCCTCCTGATGGTAAGTGGTAACCGTCACATATATACATGAACAGCACTACGGACATCACGTTATCATGTAACGGCCTTAATACCGCTCATGCGTTGCCATTCCAGAGGACGAAGATGATATGCCTCCTATCTAATGCAAAATATACACAGAAATAACTAACTGTATAAAACAAAATATTGTAACAATCAAATCAATAATTAGCTAAATACAAAAATGTAATAAAGAATTATGAACATTATGAACAGGGAATTAAGATACAGAATGCTATGTTACTGACTGAATAGTAGTGACGTTTCACAATCAAAATTACGACTGAACTTAACAAATTACTATGTAATTTATCCTACATTTGCAAAATTACACTAATAGATGCATTAGAAGTTCTATTATAAATCGGAAACACCCAATAATAGATCGTAAACAATTATTTTCAATATTGAACCTTATATTCAATAGCATATGGTGCAATTCGAGCAGAATTTATGTATTTGAATGTTATGTAGATATTTTATGATCTATTATTGGATAGTCAAGCGAAACTACCTAAATAGGCACAGGAGGGTTCAGTACATTTGGCTTATTACGGGAAAACCTTAGGTATATCACATCAACTATTATATAATGACCCTTGGGCAAACATTTATACTATAATGGAATGTATAATTAACTTATTCGTAACTAAGTAGCCGCAACTCCCACTAGATGGCTCTGTCACTATTCTACAACTCGATTCCAAGTGAACAGTTCAAAATTAACAATCACTACAATATTTAAAATTTTACTACCATTCTACTAGTAGCAAAGTGTTAAAGCATTCAACATGTTTCTACTATTCAATGTATCTTCTAGAAGACTCATATTTATTCCTGATAAATAGCACAAAAATATGCTAGTAGAAACTGACTACAATATTCAGGAAAGGAAATCTAAAAATCCATTTTAACTACATTTCTTCCAAGTGAAGAAATAAAAGAGAACAAAAGAGTTCAATAGCTAAAATAGGTCTATTCCAGGATTTGCGTTTCTATGAATAAGGGCATTAGAATTGATTTCTGTGTGCCAACTCTAAAGCGGACTAAATCCCAATTTACAAGGGAATAAAAAAAATCCGCTTTTTTTGCAGCAAAATCGTGTTACAAGTGTTTACAAGTTCCTATCTACTAAGAAATCTTGTATTCCAAATATACAAGTATCAAGTAACGAAGTACGTAAATACACCCAAGGGATAAAGGGGATAAGCAACAATAATTACAATAATTACTATAAATTTACCCTAATTTACCCTAAATAGCGTTGAGCTGAGATCCTGCAACTAAATCAATAATTTATAAATACCTAAACTTACTCGTATTTTACGGTTACATTCGGAATTGTCTGAACTTAACCGGAAACTTTTATAAGCTCATCAAGCCATTTGTTACAAATTACATGTATTCAAGTACACACATAAGTTGCGTTTTAAAATCGACTTTAAAATTATAGCATCAAAGACGAATCTTCAATGAAAAATTTGTTACTTAATACATTTTATTATTAAGAGTGCTATTTCCGGTAAATTCCGGAACGTCATTCCGTGTAGACTAGTGTCCGCCCATCGAATGGTCTAATTAACGTATACTTTTATATGAGCAAGACGTTTCGTCGATGACGTATTTTCCGAATTTCGTGTATTTTAAAATTTTCAATTATATACAAATTATACATCTAAAAATGATTTCTCCATATGAAAATTCTCATATTTGTTACTATCTGTGTTTAATGGTACAGAACCACAGACAGGAACAAAATACTTATTTTGTTACTGTCTGTGTTTCTGTATATAATTATTTACATTATCAATAAATATCCGTACCACAATCCACGGTAAAACCAGGGCGGCAAACTATACTTACAACAACCCTCTCGTATGTTTTACATTCGCCTATATTGTGTATTAAATCTAAATTAAATTAATAAATAAATTACGCCAAATATTTGAACTATAATATAACGCAATTTATGGCCGGTTTACACTTTGTAAGTATTAATTTCATAAGTGTAAGTGTGAAGAAACGAGATCAACTTCTTAGTACGCCATAGACTCACGTGCGGGAGCCGGAAATCGTGTGGCAAGGAGAGAAACTCAAGCAGAAGCCAAGACTTGTAACAAGAAGTCACATTATTAAGATATATAAGGAGATATGTCTAAGTAACTACCAAGAAATACTAATACGCTACTTCCAGACCGTCAATATATACATATATGTATATATATCATCCATTTACTTTACCTATGCCAATATTATATAAAGGTAAAATTTGGTTTTTCGAGGAATTTACTAAATCTCCGGATTTCAAAAGTTCTTTTAGTATTAGGTAGCCCATAGGCCATCACACTGCCACTGCAATAGGAGCAGAGCTGCAATGAATAATGTTACAAAAATGGGAAAAATAACGCAAAGTATGCGCTACTTGAGGTCAGCTAGTAATTGCATAATTTGGGTAACTTTGCGAGTACAGCAGTACGCAGGTACGGTGGGTTTATTTAAACATCGGTAATACGTGCTTCTAATCAATTTACTTCGCACTCACTTAATGATCAATTTTACTTACTACTTAACACTTAACCTTCATTAACACTATACACAGTGTAAACCGGCCATTAGATAATAAAACAATTTTTTTCTATTAAATTTTCTAACGAAATTGACGATTAATATTATAGAATTTTGTTCTGTTCAGAATTACATTTGCAATGTAGAGCGCAGTGGACAGTCAGCCACATATTTTATTATATACAATTTAACAGATTGTGTACAGCTGCGCATAATGTATAGCGATTAGACGACATAAGAACTATGCATTGAATAAATGGTTACATACATTGTTATTGGTTATTTCAAGTCATTTGGTAACTACATAACATTATTTCTCTCCTAGCATTTCAGTCACAGTTATAACACTACAAATACATTATGTACTTAATTCTCAATCTTAAATACGAGACCGTTAGATTCAATATTAAATGAGAAGTTGTAAAATAAAGACATTGTATTATGTATAATTGATGAACAGTTAATTTGATATATTTCGATTAAACTGTACTGTAAGTATATTTTTATGTTATAATAATTTTGAACTTTATGAAGAGTACTTACAATTTATTTTTCAAAGTTGTAACAATTGTCTCATCACGATAGAATACTTTCAAAAACAATTTAATACAATTGACATAAGGATAAAAATCGCAAACTATTAAAAGTTATAATAACTTGGCATTTATAGGTTTAAAAACAAAACATATCAAGGTTCGAAACATTACGTATATTAGCTACAGCATTTAGATTCTTATTCCTTCGAGTTAAACATCAAAGTTGATTAAATTCCGAATCGAATTCAAGACAGCTATAAATTTAAACAATGCTACCGCACTTGCCGTTCGTGAGCGATAGATTTGGGCCGAGCGACGGCCGTCCCAACGTCACGTGGTTGAACGAATTTGTTAAACCGCCGTTTAAACCATCATAACCATTCATGTATTGGTTATTTTGCAGTCCTATAAGTAACTCCACTAGTGCGTTCGACGCACTTTGAGCGTTTAACAACTCGAATATTATGCAATTGCACTCAGGTTCTGGAGTCTTTATGGAGCTCTTGTTGCTCGACGTGGAGGTCGTTGAACTGGTGCTGGAGCTGGTCGTGGACGTCGCGGGGGGGTTGGGGTGAAGAGGGCAGGTGAGTTGGAGGTTCTTGGGGTATTGTGTGGGGATACCTGACAGGTGATTGGCGGCCGCTCGCGCGTAGAACACGCAGGTGTGGCCGTCCGCATCTGGGAAGTTCGGATTGCCGTTATGCTGTAACAAAACATAAAATTAGTTGTCTTGTAAAAGATATAACCAAAAATCTGACGGTAAGTGGTAATTATCATCCATACACTAGTATCACTACGGAAATCACTTTATCATGTAACACCTGTGATACTATGCGTTGCCATTCTAGAGGACTAAGTGCGCGTGCACGCACACCACACTCAGGGGACGTGCTGTCCCCTGGTGAGTGTGTCACAGTGTGACAGTGTCACGTGCCCATATGAGCGGCGCCCGCGGCGCGGCGGTATGCGGCGGGCCCCCGGTGAGAGTGTGACAGTGTGATAGTGTGACAGTGTGAGAGTGTGACAGTGTGAGAGTGTGACAGCGACACGTACCCATATGAGCAGCTGCGCGGCGGCGCGGTCGTGTGCGGCGGGCGCGCGCGGCGGCCCCCGGTGAGAGTGTGACAGTGTGAGAGTGTGAGAGTGTGACAGCGGCACGTACCCATATGAGCAGCTGCGCGGCGGCGAGGTGTCCGGCGGCGGCGGCGGCCCGCAGCGCGGCGGCGCGGTCGTGTGCGGCGGGCGCGCGCGGCGGCCCCCGGTGAGAGTGTGACAGTGTGAGAGTGTGAGAGTGTGACAGCGGCACGTACCCATATGAGCAGCTGCGCGGCGGCGAGGTGTCCGGCGGCGGCGGCGGCCCGCAGCGCGGCGGCGCGGTCGTGTGCGGCGGGCGCGCGCGGCGGCCCCCGGTGAGAGTGTGACAGTGTGACAGTGTGAGAGTGTGACAGCGGCACGTACCCATATGAGCAGCTGCGCGGCGGCGAGGTGTCCGGCGGCGGCGGCGGCCCGCAGCGCGGCGGCGCGGTCGTGTGCGGCGGGCGCGCGCGGCGGCCCCCGGTGAGAGTGTGACAGTGTGACAGTGTGAGAGTGTGACAGCGGCACGTACCCATATGAGCAGCTGCGCGGCGGCGAGGTGTCCGGCGGCGGCGGCGGCCCGCTGCGCGGCGGCGCGGTCGTGTGCGGCGGGCGCGCGCGGCGGCCCCCGGTGAGAGTGTGACAGTGTGACAGTGTGAGAGTGTGACAGCGGCACGTACCCATATGAGCAGCTGCGCGGCGGCGAGGTGTCCGGCGGCGGCGGCGGCCCGCAGCGCGGCGGCGCGGTCGTGTGCGGCGGGCGCGCGCGGCGGCCCCCGGTGAGAGTGTGACAGTGTGACAGTGTGAGAGTGTGACAGCGGCACGTACCCATATGAGCAGCTGCGCGGCGGCGAGGTGTCCGGCGGCGGCGGCGGCCCGCAGCGCGGCGGCGCGGTCGTGTGCGGCGGGCGCGCGCGGCGGCCCCCGGTGAGAGTGTGACAGTGTGACAGTGTGAGAGTGTGACAGCGGCACGTACCCATATGAGCAGCTGCGCGGCGGCGAGGTGTCCGGCGGCGGCGGCGGCCCGCAGCGCGGCGGCGCGGTCGTGTGCGGCGGGCGCGCGCGGCGGCCCCCGGTGAGAGTGTGACAGTGTGACAGTGTGAGAGTGTGACAGCGGCACGTACCCATATGAGCAGCTGCGCGGCGGCGAGGTGTCCGGCGGCGGCGGCGGCCCGCAGCGCGGCGGCGCGGTCGTGTGCGGCGGGCGCGCGCGGCGGCCCCCGGTGAGAGTGTGACAGTGTGACAGTGTGAGAGTGTGACAGCGGCACGTACCCATATGAGCAGCTGCGCGGCGGCGAGGTGTCCGGCGGCGGCGGCGGCCCGCGCGCGGCGGCGCGGTCGTGTGCGGCGGCGCGCGCGGCGGCCCCCGGTGAGAGTGTGACAGTGTGACAGTGTGAGAGTGTGACAGCGGCACGTACCCATATGAGCAGCTGCGCGGCGGCGAGGTGTCCGGCGGCGGCGGCGGCCAACTCCACTCACCGCTCGTGTGCGGCGGGCGCGCGCGGCGGCCCCCGGTGAGAGTGTGACAGTGTGACAGTGTGAGAGTGTGACAGCGGCACGTACCCATATGAGCAGCTGCGCGGCGGCGAGGTGTCCGGCGGCGGCGGCGGCCCGCAGCGCGGCGGCGCGGTCGTGTGCGGCGGGCGCGCGCGGCGGCCCCCGGTGAGAGTGTGACAGTGTGACAGTGTGAGAGTGTGACAGCGGCACGTACCCATATGAGCAGCTGCGCGGCGGCGAGGTGTCCGGCGGCGGCGGCGGCCCGCAGCGCGGCGGCGCGGTCGTGTGCGGCGGGCGCGCGCGGCGGCGGGGCGGCGAGGGCGCGCGCGAGCACGCACACGGCGCCGCGCGCGGCCGCCCCCCGCAGCGCGTCCCCGCCCGCGCCCGCGCCCGCGCCGCTCGCGCTCAGGAACGCGCGCCGCTCGTACTTCAGCCGGATCCACCTGGAGACGTATCGAGCGTTAGGTCAATATACTGATATATTTGGAAGGGCTGGCTAGCATAATAATTTGTAGAGGTCAAGAAAATGCGTGCTTCTCGACGCGCATTACCCCATCGAGTATCCAATGACCGTACAGTCTGCACTACAATCACACGGAATCTTCGATCACTTGTAACACAATGAAAATAAAAGTATAATACAAAAAGACTAACCGTTCCTTCTCTTCCCTGCTCGAAGACGCAATTGGTTTAATATGGCCCCTTAAATCTGCCTCCCATATTGAATTAGCGAGAGTGTTGCCCATAGACACCATTACGCTGACGTGGCTCAATCTGTAATAAAACAGCATTTGTATTAATAACAAACATCCATCCATCTATCCATAGTCACAAACTTTTATGTTTATAATATTAAGTAAGATAATAAAATCGACGAAAACAAAAATACTCACGGCCACTCATCTAAGTCGAGAGAGCGTACACGCGATATGTGCGATCCAAGATTCCTGTGTATACCCGAACACTCGATGCATATCAGCACACCTAAGTTCAAACTCGCCCAGTCCGGATCTAGAAACATAACACATCCAATTAAGTAATTTATAATTAAATAATCTGTTAACAGATAAGTATAATAAAAGTAATAACTCTTTATCTCTAATGCATAGAAAAGATAACTATACAAAAAAACATGGCTTTAAAAATGCATTAAAAAAGGTCTTATTGCCATCTCTAAAAAAGATAAAAACTAATGCAAATATATTACATAAGTTTAGTATATAAATAGAACAGCGTAACATCGAAATAAAAAGTAGTCTATGTACATTCTAAAACTTAAAGAGTACCGGTTTGACCATCAAGTTCATGCATAGCAGTATACCTGCGACGTAGAGCATTTTTTATCGCTTATATCATGTTGAGTACCATCCTGATCATCCGGATGAATGGAGGTGCATTTTTCCCCTGGTGTTACGGGTGTTTATGGGCGGCGGTAATCTCGTTTGTCCCCTTGCAATTCCCCTAGTGTTGCGGACGTTCATGGGCGATAATCACTTACTATCAGATGACTCGCTAGCTCATTTATCCCCTGTGCTGTAGAAATAAAGGAGTAAGCAGTAAAGTTACCTGCAGCACCGCAGTCGCAGCAGGCGCGATTCCCGGCCACGCGGCGCACGTACTGCGGGGCGCGCACGTCGCCCGTCGAGTTCGCACCCGTCGGCGCGGGCTGCCGTGACGTCTGCACACACATTACACATCGCTCTAGCATCGGTTACATCTCACAATCCTATTTATGTTGAGACAATCAATGAAACTACAGTATAAAAAGAAAAAAACGAAACGAAGATCTAAAAACGATAAATATATATGTATCTATCGCCGTAATAACTTTACAAATAAGTATATATGTAGTACATAGTAAGAAACTCAATGCCATTTCATTTCAACTAACCAAAATTTATGTTACGAGTACTAAATTTCTGCTTCAAATAAACACATCTTTCTAAAAAATATATATTTATTTGTAGCAGATGTTTGACAGAAATTTTCCTCTCTAACACACAAGAGACCCGGCATCCGCAGGTTGAATTGGGTATCATGAAAGGGAATCTATAATATGTTACTTGCGAAAATTAAAGCCAACTTTTAAGTTTACTTAGATTTTTGGTGGAATAAGGGAGGCTTCAGAATGAAAAAAGAGCGTTAGGTTTTATGATATCTGATATAACGTGGCGTAGTACTGACTCGTCCCTGCAGCGAGGCGAGGATCTGCGCCTCGACGGCGGCCACCCAGGCGTCCCGCTCGGCGGCCGCGGCGCCGCTGGCCGCGCCCCCCGCGCCGCCCGCGCCGCCCGCGCCCGCCCCCGCGCCCGCGCCCACCTCCCAGCGCCACCGCTTGCCGTCCAGGCTCACGATCGTGAACTCGCACGACGTCGCCGCATCGCCGTCTGTGTAAAATTATTCAAAGAAATATGTATTACTACTACTCATTTCATACTCACACGTTTCTAAATCATCACATCCTCTACACATTATGCGTTCCAACATTTACACAGTCCGATCCACAATTCTATATTTATACATATAAAAAGAAAATATAAAATAGACATATGGGTATTATTTAAAAAAATTCTTTCTTTTATGTTGATAAATTTGTGTCTATAATCAACTTTTACAACATTCTACAAACAAAAGGGAAAAATGATAAAAATAATGATACTTCGTATCTTTACTGTAATAAAATACAAATATAGAAACAAAAACAGTCATAAACTGAGGTTGGATTATACTGAGGTATATCATAACCTGTAAAAATACAAGTCTATATAAGCCAGCAATATCAAAGAACAATTACCTTCTTCCCCATCTTTCTTAACACCACTGCTCTTCATTCTTCGATGCCTCTTCTTCACGTGAGGCGTATCTTTATCCGCTCCGTTGGTGGAGCCCACTTCGACCTCCGAAGCTAGCGACTGTCGACTAGAGGCTGGCTCTTTCATTGCGTCGAACGCCGACATCAAAGCTTTGTCGGTCACCCTCGTTGGTTTATCTTTGTACCCTGGGAATATAATAACATATCATCATTATCAATGCCTTGTCATTTTTTAGTTTTGGCGCAGTATGTCCTCTTTCCCATCGACGGTCATATCTGTGTTTACTCTCCTTTTATATCTATCTTTCACACAATCCTTTCCTATATATTTTTTGGTCGTTCCCTCCCTTTCCATCTATCCACGTTCATGTTACTTTATTTAAGACATATCTTTAAGAGTATAGTAACATACAACCAGTTTCTATCGTTGCAACTTTTATTATATGATAATATTAATGACTAACTGTTTCCCAAACAAGGAATAAGCTCTCTTCGTGAAGGTTTCAATGTATAGGTTCAGAGATTCAATTGTAGGAAGGTGATTCCATAATATGATTGTGTGTTGGAAAAAGTTATCCTAGATTACCACAAATTATACCTTTTATCTGAATTCAGATACACCTAGTATTAAGATAATATTATGCTTACCGAGAGACAATCCTCCGATGCTGTCATGTATGTCCAGGCTGCTATAGCCGTTGTACCCTGGGACAGTGGTAATGATAGATTTGGATCCTCTGGGCTTCTGTCCCGGGACCTTCACGGTGACATACTGCAGCGATATCTCCTTACCGTTAACATCTTCCATGTAATCCTGTAAATAATGATTCATTTAAGAAATAGTTCATGAAATAATTCTAAAGTCAATTATATATTTCATAGTAATAGAAATATTCTTTATACAAATAAATATACGCACTTTTGAATAATCATATGACAATGGTTATAAACTGACAATTCTCTTTGTTTAAAATTATAATTTAAATTTTTTAATGACATTTAAAATATTTGGCAATAATATATATAATATTAATAAATTTCAACAGAATGTAAATTGTTTTTAAGTAAATGAATTAATTAAAAAATGTTTATAAGAACATTCATGAAAATTGCTAGAATAATATAGAAGTTGAAAAGTGTGTCCAAAGCGGACACACTTTTTAACTTCAAATTGGGAACTTCCAACCATAACGCATACCAGACCTTATCAGAAAGACAATATACATAAGTAAATTAAAACTTACATGCAAACTAGGATGATATGTCAGCCTTCCATCATCGCAAAGAGTTACGTATTTCTTCTTCCACTCTTTATTTAAAGCTTTACTACTCTTCTTATACAAATATCCCTGCTTCAATGGTATAGCGCGGCCGGAGCCCAGCTCTCCGTTCTTCAGTCTATCATCCCCCTTCTTGGATGGCGTGAAGAGATTCGATCTTCTCCTGGACTTCCTCGATGTGGTAGGCGTTGAGGAAGGCGTGGGCAGATCTTTGGGATCCTTGATCGGTTGGAGATTGTCCAAACAGTGCGGCGCGGTGAACTTCACGTTGTTATTCTCCGTTGCTATGGAAACTAGGCCTGATGAGGAGCCGTGACTGCCGAGCGAGTTGCCCCATCGGGATGAGGTATCAGAACCGTTTGTGCTGTGAATCTCGACGACATGCGTGGATGATATGCCGCTGCTGTTTGATGAGGCATCGAAGGATTGCGCTCCTCGATGTAGGTGGTGGGATGACGCTGAGAGCGTGTGGTGGCCGCGTGGTAGCGAGTCCTGGAACAAAATATTTTTTTATTATAAAGATGTCACGATTATTGTAAAATATTATGTAATATATGTACGACGTTTGCAAAAATGTAGTTGAAACAAAAAAAGTATATTCAGAGTATAACTTAGTTATAACTAATTTAAAAATATATATTAAGGAGTAATTAAAAAGTGAGAGGAGAATTTGTTAGTAATGGGTGATGATCAGCCATCAATTTAAAATCAACAATGTGGTTAATATAGACTGGAGATAGATGATGACGGCTTCAATCTAGCGGTGTAACACATCGCGTTACTCTCGATGGTCGCGGATTCAATTCCTCGCATGGTACAAACATTCATGAGTACGGTCTTTTTTTTTTAATCACTTCGTTAGCGCTCCTTACCATTATAATCTATTCTGATCATACAGTGATTCTGACTAGTTGACATTAGTCAACATTAATTAGCCTATTCGCAAAATTTATAACATTGACCTTCTTGTACTATCATCATCCATATAGGCTACCATTTGTTCACTACGGGTTCACCATTCCACCGTCATCAAACAATAAACCCTTCTATGCACGCTTACTCCTGTTGAATGTAGTTCCCCCACTTTTTTTGATTCTACAATTAAATATAATTTGTTTCAGAGCCTTAACAAGTAGTTTGATTATTTGACATTGCTTATTATTTACCAAATTTATGACAGGAAATTATTTCTGAATATGATTCATTAAAAAATGTTTTTATCATACTACGCAGATCTTTAAGTAATCATAAGTACACGCCTATTTATATAATTAAACAACATATTTTTAGAATTAAAAAATAATACTTCTACGAATAAAGCGTAATTAAAAAGTAGTTGAAAAATAAATTTGTGCAATAAGTACTACTCGTAGAGAAGATAAAGCCGTATTATATCAGATTGTTATCAGATTATAATGTTGCGTACTTAACAGCTTATTGTAACAAAACAAACAGAAAAATATCCCACTGTATAATGTTTATCTTTTACATAGATAGCAAATTGTCAATATAGTTCATGTAAGTATAGGATACAGTTTTATTTTTTGTATTTCTTGTTGTATTGTATTCACCCCGATTTTAGGGTATTTCGCCAATAGTTAAATCATATTTATTGAGCATTACCTCGCTCACTAAACGAAACTAAACTATAACTAAACGATTATTTAAATGCATGGCAATAATTGTTCATGCACGGGATTTTCATTTAATGTTAGTCACAAATACCTATTATATGTACATTATGTAAATAAACTGTCTTTAAAAAAAAGAATTCAGTTGAATTTCTTGCCAGTTCTTCTCAATTGAATCTGTATACTGAACTGGACGGTAGGTAAAAAAATATTAATAAAAAAACTTCTGACGTTCAAAGCGGCTAAAATGTCCTACATGAATAAATGATTTTTGATTCTGATTTGAGAGATATATATATATATATATATATATAGAATACAGTTACCAATTAGGTACCATTAGATGAGCAGCCAGTTCCTACGCCATTCAATTTCCAATCACTTAGCCATTAAAATTATATTCTTTTATGTGTGACGCGAATTAAAATGTACTAGTTGGTTAAAATAACATCTTCGTTCACGTAAAATTTTGACCGTGCCAATTCGTTTGGATTTGTTGCCAAAACGTGTAATACGCAAACGCAATGTACAACTAATTTATGTGCTTTCTTACTATATTTATACTATAGAAAATAATAAATACATTGTATTAGATTTCTTTAGTTACGTTTAGGTTACAAATAAAAAAACTTACTTGTATAATAAACCATTTAACACCGGACTTCGGGCTTGAACCTGTATATCTCGGATCATCCGGACAATCATTCTGGTCAGTCAGTTTTCCCAAGTAAACAAAAATCTAAGTAATACCTACGTATTGCTATTAGAAGCCCATTTTCAAGAATTCTCAAATATTTAATTATGAAAAAACATATTTTTTAGCATTGTGAACAAGCCCGTCCAATGGTAAGTGGCAACTTCATTCAACAACCGTCACTTCTAAACATGTACAACTACAGTTTACAATTCCGGAAGTGGCTCCGGAGCCTGTCTTCACTGTCATATCTCACATTTTAACCAAGAAAGTTACTTGGAAGCTGAAACATTTGAGTTACCCGAACAGACGACTATGTACAGAAACTACACCTGGTAAAATTCCATTCCAAGTGTTCTAGAGTCTTCTTCAGAACTTGCAGATATATCGATATGGCGAATTAATTCAAATTAAAACCTATTTGCATAAAGCAACTGCGTTGGCGCCAATTACATAGAGGCCAGTTATATAAGTAGATTATGGTAATGACTGTCTTAGTATGTTTGACACTTTATGCTTCGTGGTACAGACGGCAGAGGAATAAAATAGATAATACCACCAATAATAATATAATATTATCCCTGGACTATAACACGACGCTATCTGGACTAGATCGCGTTGTAATATAGCTATAGTCAAGCTAAGCAGAGCTTGTATTATGGGTAGTAGACAACTGATAGAATATACCTTGTATATTAATAATACCTTGTATAATAATTGTCCATTTATTTTAAATAGTGTAATAAATAATAAATAAATATAGATAGAAAACACCTAGACCGATACAAACAAACATACTCATGAATACAAATATTTGCACCGTGCTAGGATTCGAACCCGCGAACATCGGAAGTGAAACGGTGTGCTAAACCACTAGTTACGCACTAGACACAGTTACATATGAAATAACAAAACACTATAATACATTTCTATTGCAGTTTTACATTTATGTATGTATCTTGACAGTTTCAATTGCGAAATTTACAAGTCACGATTGTAACTACAACTGTCTGTCTGTCTGTTTGAAATTGCAGATTTACCTACGTAATGTAAATGAAGGAATGAAGTATCTGCCTTTATCACGTTTCTAACCACAACTGTCAAAAGAATAATAATTACAAATCGGTCAATTTCAAATTCCAGATGTACCTATATAATTTAAATGAAGGAACCGAGTTTTTCTTTTGCATCATCCATACATATTTTATAACTACTAAAGTGTACTTAATTGTAACACTACAACGTCTGTTTATTACCATTCCACGACTATACAAATGATCTTATAAGAATATTTATCGCGACATAGCAGCAGATAATATATATTATCTGCTGCTCAATTAGCTCTATCTTACTTCTATCTTAATCTATATATATGCAAAAAACATATAACCACATTTATTATACGTAAAACCCAAACATACATAAAGAACTGAGCGATCACCGCGTTAACAATATCCTGCAAATTATGACAATAAAGGATTAGATTTGGAAGCTAATCAGTTTCTACTATTAATATGGCCGCTTTTACATTTTTATATATTCACAAATTATACGCAGATAATGAATTCAAGTGGCAGAATACATAATCACATGTAGATAACATTCGAATAAAATGTGAAAACGTATTTTAAAAAGAAACTTTCACTAACACCAAATATTTAGGATACGCTTATTAAAGGAGATCTTTACGGATGACTAGACGTTAGACGGTTAGATGGTTAGACTAATAGTTACCCGCGACATCGTCTGCGCCTTGTCAGTAGACAAATGACCGTTCTCATGATATAATCTATGTTTCTTCTATCCTTAAAAACACCTCTACTTGGGTATACGTTTATAAGTCGATTACAACTTTTTCAGTCTTATGTTCCTATTTCAGTCGCGAAGCAGCTTGCTCTGTAAGATGTGTTTCAGTTGAAGGGCAGTGAAAATACAGTATAAGTATTATTACTTGATCGACCTTAGTTTTCTAGAATGGCAACACATGAGTGGTATCACTTGTTTCACATGTTGATCTCTAGTACTGTTTTACTGTATAACAATAGATGGACCGTAAAAATGTTTGCCATTTCAATAACATAAAAAAGATTCGTTTTGTCGTTTAGTCGTGAAAAGGTGATAAACAGACCGAACAACACACTCACTTTGCCATTTATTACACACTAGTTACCCGCCCCCGCTTCGCATTGTTGTACATGTAAACCTTCCTCATGCATCACTCGTATCTATTACTAAAAACTGCGTAAAAATTCGTTGCGTAGTTTAAAAGACCTAAATGAACAGACAGCGCAAGGGATTTCATTTTGTACTATGTAATGATGAATATGGCCTTTCTATCACCATTTCATCATCATTCACAAAGAACACCTACAATATCACAAAAGGACATCGTGAAACATGAATATAAAAGTTGTGTAACCTTCCATAGAATCAATTAACCAACCTTGATGTCCAATCACATACATATTTGGTATGTTTAATACCATAGTCAACTGCTACCCACACTGCTTCCTCTATTCACTATTATGGCTAGATAATGTCTATAAAAGTAAAGCATTAAAGTTTTACAAACTCTTCGTAGATAATAATAGTTCTTTTATGTAACAATCGCGGCGTCTTCTTACACCTAGATCAGAGACAACAGTACGCTTTCTTTATATCGATATATTAGTTGCATTAAGTCTATATATTGTAACTTTGTATAAAATTCATCACTACTTCTCTAAACAAATTTACATGTTTATATAAATTTCTTTTATGAAACTGTAGTTAACGGCGTTGGTAATACATTTAAAAATATATCATCTTATCACATATTGTATTTACACAATATATTGTATTAATGTTTGTTAGTCCTAATAATTCAATAAAAAAAAGAGGCATTATCAATCGTAGACATTATTGTGAACCCAACACTAAACATGATGTGATATACAACGATATGTGGGCACATATCGTTGTATATCACATCATATATCAACGTAGTAGGCAGCGTCCCTACGGCCGTCTCGGGATTAATTTGTATTTTTAACGGTGTTTCCGTCACCGGAATCATTTGAAATATACATTAAAACAAAAAATTTTGGTGTCTGCTAAATTCAAACACACGTCCTTTCGGCGTTTGTTGGGGTAGTGACCACTAGGCCACAACGCTCTAACGCTCTAACAATTATGTATTAATAACATTCCTGAAGTCTTAATACAAGAAACAGATTTCAAACCCAGATATTAATACCTACGTACCTAGAAAAAAACACTACATTACTGAATATTTTTTCCAATACAAGGCCATCGAATTACGTCACTAAAACGATTTCTTAGCCGAACAATGAGAAAAATAGAAACTTGAACAGGAAAACTTAGTCACAATGCAATTACAATAATAATTATAAATTAATACTATTATAAATAAGTATATATTGTAAGGTTCAATCCCGAATTATTCACTTCAGCAATATAGATAACAGGCCCAGCCCATTGAATGGAGTGTTATTTTTTAAAAAAGTATATCAAAATACTAAGTACCTAATGTACCTAATAAAATCCATACATTTTATACTACATACAATTATTAAATATGTGAGGTCAGTATATTCAATAGTATTAATATATATATATATATAACTACATATATATTTATACAAACTACATACATAACGACATGTGAATTATTGTAAAACAATTCTTATTGAATTCGACACAATACTTTATTAAATAAATAAATAAGCTATTATTTTCTCTCTTCATGATAATGCTGATATATTTATTACATCATATTCCTTATAGTTGCAAACATTAAGTAGTTATACTATTCTAAATTACTATTCATATCATTTCTTAATATGAAGATGAATACAAATGTAACTAGAATGTGCCCAATAAAAATCGGTTCATTTATTTTTATGTTTTAGTAATTATTACTATTTATTAATTAGGCAAATAACTGATTGTAGATAGGGGTAAAATAGGGATGAAGAAGACCAAGACAGCTATATGAAACAATTTAAATAAAGTTGAAGTCATGCCATATCATCTCCTGAAAATGGCAATAGCTCCACTGACAAGTCCATAGCTATTAAATATTAACAACAAAAATAGAACGAAGTGTCAGGTTGGTCTACAAAGACATCAGATAGCTCCAAAAACAAGCGCTTGGGTTTCAAAGTGGACTTTAACTTGGCCCATTCGAAATCACAAGAGGCCAGGTCAGTAATAACAACCTCTTTTTGGGGGGAGAGGGATAGTTAGTAATGTGGACTCATAGCCCCATTACTAGCAATGTCCCATGTCAGGTTAACCTACATGCGGTTCCCCCTGGAAACCATCGTGATAAATTCCTAGTGAATTTGTCACAATGGGCTAACTGACCTGACCTCATACTCATCTTATCATCCTCCACTGGTGGGCACCCCTGCGCTAACGGTTTACGCTGGTGGGGCACCACCATTCCATTATCATACATAAAAAAACAACCTCTTTTCATCCAGTATAGTACATATTCCAAATGAAATTTTATATGCATATTCATTACATCTGAGAATCGCCGATTATCTATTTTTCATACCCCTAAGTGCTAATGGTTGTCCACAACTAAAATATTTAGTTTTTTGTACTTTTGACAAAATATAATGTGGCATTAAAATATACATACAACCCCAATTTTTCACCCTTTTACCATGAATCCCTATTTTCTAATAGTGATTTTAATTTATATGGCAAAACAATGTTTACCGACTCGGCTAGTATTATACATATATGTCAAACATCCAGTACGAAGATATGTATTGTCATGTATTTGCATTGAAAAGATGGTTGTGCATTAAAAACTTATACACTAATACATAATTTATAACACACATGAAACAAAAAACAAATTAAACAAAATATTTGGCATAATATGATGTTTTTAACTTAACAAAACTTAACAAGCACTTTTGAATAGTCATATTTTTGTAATCTACCCCTCATTCAGAATGCAGACTCATCATAAGAAGAACAAGCAAGAGATTTGCATGTTGCATATCAGTATTACATATTTAAGATTTTGTGTGAGTTAAAACTGTCAAATATCAAAATTTATATAGGTAAATAAATAGGTACTTGAATAACAAACTAAATCAGTCATAGTTATCAGAGCAGACCAGTCCCAAAGATAATTCAAAAATATTATTTATGGCACTATTTTTCAATAGTGTATGTATGTAATATTATGGACTGTGTGAAATATGATATGGTAAGAAAGGGAGTAAATAATGAGATGACTGTGAACAGGGATGAATGGAAGAGGAAAACATACATAAGATTACTACTTACATACTTTGACCCCAAATAAGTGGGTATAAGGAAGATGTGTATGTGTATGTATGTATGTATATATGTAACATTGTTGATAAATACCACAGAGAATATAAGATGCAAAATAAGGCTCATTGGCTTGTATAGCATACCAGATACATTAAACAACTATCTGATGGTATAAAACAATTCAAAAACTACTAATTATCTGCTCTCTTCTACTGATTCATCTAATTGAATATAATAATGACAAAGATGCAAGGCAATAGTTGTTCATGCATGGAATTTTCATTTGATGTTAGACAAACACATAAATAAGTTAACAATGTTAACAAACTAACTTTAAAAAAAAGAATTCATTTGAGTTTTTTACTAGTTCTTTGTGATTGAACATATAAAATGAACTGGATAGTATGGAAAAATGTTAAAACAAATAACTTAACTTTCATAAATAGCTAAACATCACACAACATGTCCTATATGAATAAAAAATAGGACATCCTACATGAATGAATATATTTTTTAATTTTATATGCAATGGATTAAAAATTATCAAAATTGGAGTGCAGCAGATGTACATTACATATTGGGCTAAAACTTTGAGAAAATATTTGAATACTATATTTGGTTATGCACTAAATTTTAAATAGCAAATTGGTGTCAGAAATACACCTAAACTTAAATTTATTCATGACATTCATAGGGAAAGTAGCGAAACGAAACTCACATAGAAAACTATTAAGAATTGCCAATTTATGGCACAATTGACCTAATGATTTTAGGAAACAAGTTTTATCTATCAGATCAGTGACTATTCTATATACAGTTGTCCTAAAATAATGTATTGTAGGCCCAAGTTAGCATTGTAGTAGTAGTTACATTACTTTCTAACCAAGAATTCATCCTTCCTAAAATATTGAATAATATATAAATATTTCTCACTAACCTTGTAAAGAAATGAAGAATGATTGTGGCTTGGAGAATTGGCCAGGGGCTGAGGAGTGACCGGCCTAGAGCCAGATAAACATTGAGACGACGCTGACAACCTTGTTCCGACGATCTTCTGGCACGCTGCAACACAATACACCATATAAATACACCACACAATAAGCATATCCTAATTATTTCCGTTACCGTAAAAACAACGCAAAGGAAACACGATGAAACGATAAATTGAAAATATTCACGCACATTCAAATTTTGCTGATTTTCGACGGTCGCGTTCTTCAGCTCTTTGTATGTTGTAACAAGTACTCCGGCGTCTCAAACTAGCTATCGGTGATATGTTAGCTTTAAAAATAAGTGTTTTATCCATTTCTCCATTCAGTATTCACAAAATTATGTAAAATTACACCAGCGAATCGAAAGAACACGGAACGTTTATTGTCAAAAGTGTAAACAAAACGAGCGAAATGAACGAATGCGAACGACCGCGCAGCTGGGGGCCGGTGTTACCACTGCTCGCGACTAAATTCCCCGCGTCGGGCTGAACACGATCAACTAGTACTATCTCTATATACGCCTATTTACTATCTCATCGAGTAGCACGCGAGTCAATAGCAATAAAATGAATCGTTATGTAATTACGATGGTAATTTCAAAGATTTATAATTATGTTTACTTTAATATTTTTTTTATCAGAAAACTAAAAGTACATAAAGTGCTGACTGACATTATGTTTATATATATTATATTATTGTGTGTACACAATTACGTAGCACAAACGAGTAATTATTTAATTGGTATTATTGCGTTATTATTTTTAATTGTAACACATTCTTCTTTTTAAGTGAACGTATTAAGTAATTCAAATTAGATATTTTAATGATAATTTAATTATTTTGCAAAAAATACCCAAAATTTCACATCGTCATTATCTATAATTTTTCATATGGACTTATTTTGTGTACAGTGAAGCCAATAAACAACAATCAAATTGATTGTTTCCAAATCAGTATTAGGATTATAACAATTATTATAGATTGTTATAGATAACGTATCAATAACGTGGGCTTCTTGTAATTTAATGTGTACTTACCATCTTGAAACACTCGCTCCACGTTCAAGCCGTACGTAGCGCATGTCTCGTAATAGGAACATCTTCGCAGTTCGTTCGACAACTTGCGAGCGCGGTTGTCGTCGACAACGCGTGGACTACTTTCACTTATGGCATCTGGAATGGCAACCAATCATTTGATAGAAAATTAACTATTACGTTCATATAATAATACCATTTTGGTGACTTAAGTATTTGAACACAAAATATTTTTTTTTATTTTGAGCGCATTGTGGTCTAGTTAGTGATTCACTAGCTAGGTATAAGACAGTGCGTTTACCATTGACAATGTCTTTGACTACTCCATTTGAGATTAAAGTTGTGAAGGTTATTTACGTTACCTTGAGTTCCGACTAATATGATTGGAATTTCAGCAGAATTCCTATAATGAGACATCTTGTTGAAGTAATTTGAAACTGTATTGTAACTGATTTCGTTGTCAAGACCGAACACGAAGATTACGGCATCGACCCAGGCAGTAAACTGTAACAAAAGAAAGATAACGTTAAACATAATAGTACACTATAACAAAAATTCTCTGCCAGGATAACTCTTTTGAGGTTACGGTAATTGATATACCTTACATAAAACCCTATTTCATTTTGCAAAATCGCAGAAAAAAATCACCCTCCTTCTAAACGCACCTCGTGTAATTACGAGGGGAACATTTGTGCAGTTGTGAGGGTTTAGAGTGGAAGAATTATGCAACAAACTACAAAATCTATGTAATAGTAACAGTAAGTGAAACAAGACACCATGTAATATATTCAAATGAATAATGACCTATCAAAATAAATTACATACAACACATTCTTCTAAATGGTAATTGCTATTAAATAGTTACCGTAAGCTATGTTAAAATTGCAATATTGGCTGAAATTGAATAGGAAGGCCAAAACAAACATTGGAAACTTTTGAAACTAAATCAGCTATTTTCAGAATTGATGTCTGTATGTTACATCATGATAAGTTATTAGCTGAATGGATACAAATAAAACATCTATATAAATTATTAATAGATTGATCTTTAGTAACCGAATTTGCAAAATTTTTAAAAAATATGCATCAATTTTTAAGCCTCTGTCCCCAACTGCTATTGTTGTTGTGGTTGATTACGACCTTTATAATAAAGGCCTTTATAAATAGAATGATCCGAGGTCTCATGTTGGCATTTATACCCTTAAAATCCACCCTATAACTTTTGGTTATTCTAAAGATGTGTCTCGCTAATTCGATTATTTCTAACATCTAGTTGACAGTTACTAGTGAAATCCATAAATTGATTGCTACATATAGTATATAAAATACACTATTAATTGTGTATAAAGCAGAGCTTCTATATGAATGAGGGTACGTGCGTAGGAGGGTGTCACCCTTTTCGCTGAACAACAATTGATGCAATGAGAGGCGACATCCGCCCCAGAAGAGTGTATACGAGTATGTTGGAAGAAAGATACCCGCTCCTTCGTTGTAAACTATTGGTGAAAAACTTATCTGTATTAGTACTTACAGATACATCATTTTCTATAAAAATATTAGTTACAATTATAAAAAAATGTTAAAGTATTTTTTGTTCTAATAGTCATCATCAGCTTCAAAGTATTTAACAGTCTATTTCGATCGTCAGTCGATCTGCTAAACTCAATGAAATGACCGCCCTGACAGAATCAGATTTGATTCCATCTGCTCAGTCTGTAGCTCGGGTGAGCGTCCGCGAGGTCTAGGACCTTCCCTTTGCCCTTTTTAACGAGTCACTTTAAAGAGTTCGTTTTTGCGAGACGTGAGTGAAAAATTTAAGAGTGCGTGATACTTAGACAAAACATTTCATTGAAAGAAACGTTGTTATTATTACCAATGCTACATAATTCCCTTTTGTGTTTTGTGGATATGTTAAATTTATAAACGTAATTAAAGCACACACATGCAACAATATTAAACAAGGGCATATATTAGAGTTTGATCGAATTGCATGAGGTAAGTAATCTTAACCGTGAAATGTTGATAAAAGCTACTGTTGCGCCCTACACGCAAATAAAAAACATATTATACGTGTATGTTAGATTTCTTACACTTTTCACAAAATTATATTTGATTACAATAACTTCATGACTCGCATACGATAATTTTTATCTCACATTTTACTATTTAGAAATAATTCTAATAAACCGTTTCCATTAAATATTCAATAAAATACGCACAGTTTATTTTTACTTTCTAGTCACTATGTAAGGTTTATTACACAAAATAATAAGGAGAATATGATGACAACAGCAACAGATATAAACTTACCGATAAATGTCTGTATTGAATTAATTTAATTGTACATTACGTGATAAAAGTATTAAACAGATATTTCAGTATTATTTAATGAACACAGAAACGTGGGTGTTCAGGGCAGCTCACCGGTGCCAACTGGGCGGGCGGGCGTCTCCTGGGTTAGGCGGCGAAACCTTTAGGAATTTCCATCCTTCTCTCACCCTCCAACTTTCCGTTTTTGAAAGAGATAGGTATAATGCACTGTGTCCATATCAAACCTTGCAATATAGTAAATCTATTCTTGTATTCAGTATCTGATATGCATGAATATCTATGATAACTAAAATTAGAACCATGATAATCAATACAGGGATTACCTACTTTATTTCTGTGGTTTGTAATTGTAATTAAGAATATAGAATTTATGGCATTATTACTAAGAAACTGAAATAATACTTAGTTTACGCTATGATTCCATATCCATTTCAATTTTAAATTTTACTATTACCAAAGATTTTTAGGACCAATGATTAGCAATTAGGTAATGATAATTAGTAACATAATCGTTAGTAACATGATAGTTACTACACAAATAGTTAATCGCTTCAATCACAATTTAATAATCCTTCGTAATACTAGAGATAACAGATTTTAGGGACCGGGAGGGTAATGCTCGGCGGGCATTTAACTTTCTCAGACCTTGAGTTCGCAGACGGCCTACGCTCGCACTGAACGGGTTTAATAGCAACAAGGTTGAATAATATTACATAATAATTTCTTACATTTGACGATAAATCTCACAGTACTAACAAAAGGGTATTAACAATTCAAATATATTTTATGTAGTGAGATAAATTGAATAAAAAATTACGAACTTTTAGATTTTTGTACCATTATAAAAAAATAATTTATATAAATTTCTCTTTATTTTTTATTGAAAAACGAGTCGCCCTTGCTTTGCACTGCTACCTTTACCACAAATACCTCTATTATCTATATTTGAAATACAGCACTAGCTGATAACTTAGTTTTCCATAGACGAATTTTTTTTGTACTGGCACATTTTTGCTGCTACTATACAAGCAAAAAAAAAATAAATCTCTTCTATTTAAAATATTGGTTTCGTGATCATTTGCATAATAATATATTTACCTTTTTAATAAATATCAAAATAAATTTTACTTCAAACATCTTATCATTTAATTAAAAATGCAACAAAAGCATATACCTATACACTTTCATCTTCGACTACAAATGCGCACACATGAAATAAAATAACGAGGAAGTAATCGAACGTGGCCGCAGTGCGTGCAGTCACCGTTCGAAATGGATGGGCCGTTTAATATTCTAGTACTCCCTGGAATGTGGTTAATTATTTGATCTGTATTTCCTTCCTACAGTATGTACCCGAAAATTTAGTTAATATTTGAATATAGGAGATTTTCGGAATTGTTGAATGTTGTTCCCGCTCGCACATTAAATGTGGAAGATTATTAAATTTGAATAAATTTAAAACTAGAACATCGTAATAAATTCAAATGTAATCAACTACTATGTTATCCAGGCAAACGAGTGGAAGTGAACTTCACATATTAACATTGCTAATTAACACATCACTAGACTGTACTACTAATAATCTCCTGTCAAGTCAACGTAAGTATAGAAATAGAATAACAACAAAAAAAAATACTTAAAAAGGATTCACAATGTAATAATGTATTGAACAGTTTGTAAATGCTCGATTTCACTCGTTATCGTTTGAGAGCAGTGTATCAGGAGTAACGTTTTGCTCGTCCGTGTTCAATTTGATAGAACATCCGGTGTACTGCACTGACACACATTTCGTTATTGCAAAAACAGTAATTAACATCACTACATCGTATTCACTTATTATACAACTCCTATAACATGCATATCATCGCACACAATTCAAACCCTTTGTTGTCTTGTAAAAGCACTCGGAAACAGGTTCTCGTTGTGCCCCCACAAAGCCAGGGTGCGACATGAACAAAGCATGTCGGGCGAGCCTACCTATACTTATGGGTAGTTATTTTTTACTTAGAATGAATAGCAATGGGATTTATGTCCAGGTAACCTGATATAAGAATAGGATACTAGCGGTAGCCACTTTCACTCACCTTTGTTTGTATCATGATACTATTACGGACAGGTTGTCTGGTGATAAATTTATAATGGTAAACTAACGCAAATCTATACCAATATTATAAAAAAGTTAAGTTTGCCTATTTAGATTTATAGTGATACTAGGCATTGGGTTTTAAAATATCGTTTAGAATTGGATAGCCCATTTACTGAGAAAGATATATATGTATAAAAATCCACAAAAGGAAAATCAATAAAATTCCTCAATAAATATCTTAATAACAGTCTAATAAAATATACTACATAGACATTTAAGTAAATGACCAACTAAAAATATCATAACAAGAGATCAAAAGTGTGAAAGAGTGGATACTATGTCGGTGTAAATACGTGTCAATGATCACTCCATTCCAGTGAAAAGAATAAATTAGAATTGATCACAACATGGTAAAAAGAGTTCCAACAAATGCATGACAAACCGTACAATGGCCGGTACTGAAATGAATAATGGTAAAGTTTCTTTGATCCTATTGAAGCAGCGAAAGAAACGTGACGGAACGATGTGTCCTAAAATAGTATTGGTCAGTTTGTCAAATTTGTTTGTTAGTAGTGATAAACTATTACAGACTATTAGTAACTTTAGAACCGGTACATTATTTCGTTTTGCGTTAACAGTCAGCCAATAATGATTAAAATACTATGGTACTGCTTATAATATAGTTAAGACTACAATTAGTAGTGTATTCAAAGAGACTACTAATAATTTGTAATATGTATACAAAATAACTTAACACATATAATGTTCTAAGTTTAAAACAATTACATTATAAGATAACATATGTTCCAAAATTTAGCATTGTAAAGTTATTGATGTTTGTAAAACAATTTTATAAATACATGAAGATATTAATTTACACTGGAAAAGATATTACCAACAAGAAAATTTTAAACAATCTACGTAATGTTCTACTACAGAAACAGCATCATATTAAATTATTGTATCTGTTAAATAGTTTCATTGAACCACCGTTCCAGCAGTTAAACAAGCCACGTGCCTGAAATTACTTCTAACAATGAAATAAACTTTAAAGATTCAGAAGGTGTGACTATAATAATATAATTGT